GAAAAAAATGAGTGAATCTACACTCAAAAATGCATCTATATACATCTGTATGTGGTTCATACTGGAATCTCTACAAAGACATATATTTAGGAACAAAGGTAGTACATTACACAAGATCGTAGGTGGCATGTAGGAATTCGAGTGCACTACATTAGGCTCCCTTAGAGTGCCTGCTAGTCCAGCACACAAAGTCATGGCTAGTTTATGCTACACACACAATCATTAATTGGTGGTTTAAATATGCGCAAGGGATATGCAATGTATTATCATGTAGAGATGTCTGAAATTAGCCATGTCAACTTGCAGATAGGGTTACACAACGAAAAAGTACAAGATGTATGTGGCAATTTTATGGAACATCGCAAGAACATAGAGTAGGATAATTCTTGAATATGCTACATCGTTGAAACAGGGGCCAACACGCCCAAACATTTCTTGGACGAGCAAACATGTGTAGTCAAAGCGGGCCTTAATTGGGCTAGTCAAAATAATATTTAGTGGATCCCAAATGATGTGGCCCACCGTAACAACGCTCTTAGCAGGCCGTTAACAGGCCAAAAGCTCGATAGGGTCATATAAATGGAAATGGCTCGCGGGCCTCTAGCAGGCCGAAATACATGTCAATTTTGTCTCGGCCTTTTTACTTTACGGGCCAATAAGAGGCCGAAAGTGGTATGGGCCAGAGGAGGCCCAATTTGCAAACTAGGCTTTTAACAAGCCGAATGTCGTGTTGGGCTGAAATGATGCCCTATGGAACGTGGGCCCCTAATGGACAAGTCAAAGGCCCAACTGTTGTGCGGGCCATTAACAGGCCAAGAGACAAAATGGGCTAGGAGTTGGCCCATTTACAAAATAGGCCGAGGGCAGGCCTAAGTCACAGCGGGCTAGAATTGGCCCAACTGTAGAATGTGCCGGGAAAAGGCCGAAAGACGTTCCGAGCCATTAACGGGCTGGAACTGACGATGGGCTGCTAACAGTCCGAAAGAAGCTCGGGCCGTAATTGGGCCCAAAGACGTAGCGGGCCATTAACGGGCTTAAACTGATGATGGGCTGGAAATTGTCAAATCCAGAGTGAGCCTTTGATGGGCCGATTCTGTGTAACTTATATGGGCCGTGCTTGTAAATGGGCCTGACTCAAGTAGGCCGCTAATGGGCCGGCCCGCTTGTGTTGACAGGCCCAGCCTTTTAACCTAAGTGGGACACTGTTGGGCCGAGACACGTGTCGATGTATCATAGGCGCGTTTCATCCATTCGTTGGATGACAACTGTCCGAATGCCGGGCCAACACATGGATCTGCCCGCCAATGAGAATTTTACACGTGGATAATCCCCATTGGTCCGTGCTATTGACAGGTTATCGGATCCAAACTGGAATCCGATAGCTTAACGGCGACCTGTTATGGTGGATGCCACGTGTCGGTCACCCTTGACGAAAGTACTTCTATGAAGCGTGATTTATCGTCATGGAAGTGGACACTTCCGTGATGATAATTTTGGTAATGTCATGGAACACTGCTACGATAGCACAGGTATGACTATCTTGATTCTGTCATAAAATCGTCATGGATGTACATGCATGACAGAAAACGTGACCTACTGTGACAAACACATATCATCACGGAAGTGTATTTTTTTGTAGTGGGAGGGCTTCTATATCAACACCATTGCCTCTCCGATGAAGCGTGAGTAGTTTACCATAGACCTACGGGTCCATAGATAGTAGCTAGATGTCTTCTTCTTTCTCTTTGACTCTCAATACCATGTTCTCCTCGATGTTTTTGGAGATCTATTCGATGTAATACTCTTTTGCGGTGTGTTTGCCGAGATCCGATGAATTGTGGATTTATGATCAACTTATCTATGAATATTATTTGAATCTCCTCTGAATTCTTACATGCATGATTTGATATCTTTGCAAATCTCTTCGAACTATCGATTTGGTTTGGCCAACTAGATTGGTTTTTCTTGCAATGGGACAAGTGCTTAGCTTTGGGTTCAATCTTGCGGTGTCCTTTCCCAGTGATAGTAAGGGCAGCAAGGCACGTATTGTATTGTTGCCATCGAGGATAACAAGATGGGGTTTTCGTCATATTGCTTGAGTTTATCCCGCTACATCATGTCATCTTACTTAATGCGTTACTCTGTTCTTCATGAACTTAATACTCTAGATACAGGCAGGAGTCGGTCGATGTGTGGAGTAATAGTAGTAGATGCAGAATCGTTTCAGTCTACTTGACATGGACATGATGCCTACATTCATGATCATTGCCTTAGATATCATCATAACTTTGCGTTTTTTTATCAATTGCTCGGTAGTAATTTGTTCACCCACCGTAATATTTTCTATCTTGAGAGAAGCCTCTAGTGAAACCTATGGCCCCCGGGTCTACTTTCCATCATATAAGTTCCCAATCTATAATTTTAGTTTCCTATTTACTTTCTTTTCAATCTTTTACTTTTCGTTTCATAAACCAAAAATACAAAAATATTACTTTACCGTTATCCATCTCTATCAGATCTCACTTTGCAAATAACCGTGAAGGGATTGGTAACCCCTTTGCCGCGTCGGGTGCAAGTTGGTGTTTGTTTGTGCAGGCCACCGGTGGCTTGTGCGTTGTCTCCCACTGGATTGATACCTTAGTTCTCAAAAGCTAAGGGAAATACTTACTCTACTTTGTTGCATCACTCTTTCCTCTTCAAGGGAAAAAACCAACACAAGCTCAATAGGTAGCAAACACCATCAGATTCCATATCGGCTAGGCGCTCCTCCTCACTGCATCTCGATCTCCATGCGGTCGCGGTGGCAGCGACCGGCTATGGTGGCGGTCGCAGACAGTGACGTGCACCCTTTCCACCCCGAGGCTGGTGCCAAGGCGACTTCTCCGCGGCCGGGGAAGGCCCTCACCCAATGGCGCTGTCTCCCCGTGAGTGGTCTCCCTAAGCATCACAGGCTGGTCCACGTAGACGACTCGCGATCGGCATTGATGCGAGCGTCGAGCAACGTGTTTCGACGATGCCGGAGGAGGCTCGGGCTCGAGCGCGCGGAGGCTTAGATGATGGCTCTATATTTTAAGCATTTTTAGAGCTCATCTTCATGTTCTCTTCATATGTTATGTCCCATTTAAACTAAAAATGTGTCTATATAATAATTATTGATTTTTGCTTTTTCATTGTGAGCATTGGACATTTGTGATCTTATTTGGTTTTCACTAGCTTTATTTGTTTTCTTGTGTCTGCAGGTGTTTTGGAGCAACCTAAGACCAAGAACGACAAAGGAATCAAAGATGAGTTCAATACAAAGGACTTTCACTCGAGGGACAAAAACATACTTCTCTCTAATCCCTTTTTTTTGGAAAAACTTCACATCTATTTATCAATATCAAGGTAGTATAAAGAATACCAGAAGTAAAAATACATTCAGATTCGTATACCACCCAACGATGACTACAAGCATTGGAGTGAACCGAAAGCGTGTCACCATCATCACCCCTCCCTCATTCAAGCTGGACATATCTCGTTGCAGTAGATAGTCAGGAGGTCGTCGTGTTATTACCCTATAGGACCAGCGCACGAGAACAACAACTGCAACCGATGAAGAGAAGCGTAGATCACAATGATCCAACCCGTAGACACACAAACATAGACAAACGAAGATCAATCCACATGGATCCACCGAAAACAAACGCCGACCGAATTCCACGAGAACCATCGGTCACAAACCTTCCCAAACCCTTCGGCGACGCTACAAGCACCGCCGAAATAGGATCTAGGTGGGGAGAACCTTATTCCATCTTCAAAGAGCCACCACCGCTACACCTCTATGAGGAGGACCCAAGCCCTAATAAAAAAATACAGAACTCTTCTGCCGGCAAGGCCCGGGATCCACCACACCTTCACGACCTTAAGGACACGGGAGACACAAGGCAGAATAGCGTCGGAGTGAACGAAAGCCACGGGAGACCCTAGCAGCCGGTGCCCTTGCGTGCGAGCGAAGGGGTACAAGCTCTCTCTAGTCCTTTTGACTGCCTACCTTCTTGTTACATTGAATTTTTGTGGCCGTGATCGATCGAGCTATTTTGCTCAAACCCATGGATCACCTACCTGACCCGGTACTCGGAATGCGACGAATGCACACCACACTATACTACGGTCCATAAAACCAAACCTTTCGTGCAAGACTCCTTCACTGGTCTTGTGATGTCGACCCAGGCTAAATGCAAAAATAGATTCAGAATTTAGCTTTTTCTGTTCTTATAGACTTTCATTTGAGCAAAAGTTCTACATACTCCTTCAATGCAAACCAATGATAATCTTTAATATTTTAAAACTGATGATTAGCCTGTGGTTGGATGATTATGCAGATGTCCAAATGACTGAATTGACAATGTGGCGTTCCATTGGTGTGGATTATTATTTCAGTGAGAAGCGACATTTTTATCGACAACGAAGCGTCTGTGATGGTTTCATCAATCTTAAAACTCTCCGGCTCAATTTTTTCTTTCTTAAAACTCTACAAATTTAATCCGATTTTTCAGAAGGCATGGTGTAATCGGCGTTTATATATATCAAAAAGAAAAATGAAAAGTTGTTCGTCGGGGAATGAAAAAGGAGACGAGGAAGACGACAACTGAACCCGAGAGTTTGCGGACGCCGGACCGCTCGCCGACGCTGACGTGCGGGCCATCGCGCCGTCGGGCACGCCACTCTCTCCCCGGTTCGTTATCTCGGCGAGCACGCGTCGCACGCCCGCTCGCTCGCTCGCGCCTCCTCCGTCTCCTCCGGAATCCCGGATGGCCACCGTCGCCGCCTCGCTCCCGCTCCGGGCGGCCGCCCGCGCGGGCCCGGCACCGTCCCGCGCACCACCCTCCGACGCAGCCTTCTTCCCCGGCCGCCCGTGGCAGCGCGGGCTGGCGGCGAGGGGCCGGCCCTGGGGATCGGTGGGGTGGTTCCGGGCGGAGGCTCTTCCCGGTGGTGCCGGCGGACCGCCGCGGAGGGAGCCCATGGCGCCTCCTTACAATGTCCTCATCACCGGTTCCACCAAAGGTGCTGCCTTTGTTCGTTTCACAGCGATTTTGTTTCTCTGAACAAGAGTTGTGCTGAATCAATCAATGGACGGATGGCTGAGCTTGAAACTGGGGACAGGATTGATTTGATATCCAATCGTGGCGTAGATTGTAGAGGATGATAGAGGCATACATCACATGTGGAAATTGTATTGGCTTCAGTTAACATTTGTAAGGTCTTGCTTGCTCAGTGACCTCTGGATGCACGTTCTTCAACAGGTATAGGATACGCGCTGGCAAGGAAGTTCCTCAAGGCTGGTGATAATGTTGTAATATGCTCAAGATCAGGTTAGAAATAAACACCTGCTTTTAATTGTTACTTTTCTTTAGGTGTTTCATAAAACAAATTGATGTTTAAGATGCATGTCAAATCGATCTGCTTTAGCAGTTCCCGCACTTATATTGTAATAATATACGATCCGCGTTTAGGTAGGTTCCAACTCTTTTAGATCATTGATCTGTTCAAAGAGGCTTTTAATGATTGTTCTAAATGACAAACAAATTAAATGTTTTGATATTATTGAGACAACTTCCATAAAGAATGAAATGGACACGTGCAAGTTCCAATTTATACCAGCTTAGTCTTTTCTTGACATGCAGTCTACTTTATCCTCTACAGCTGAAAGGGTAGAATCTGTAACAAATGACTTGAAAAAAGAATTTGGAGAGCAACATGTGTTGGTACCTACTGCTGACCTACTTGGTCCCTATATTTTCATTCAAGTTTTGTTCATAAAAATCGTCAAAATAGTACAGTGCAACACGTTTAACTCCATAGTCTCTATTGTCTCCTTTTTTTGTGCTATGATAGGGGACTGTCTGTGATGTTAGAGAAGGAAAGGATGTGAAGGCGCTTGTGGATTTTGCGCGTGACAAGCTGGAGTATATTGATATTTGGGTACATAGTTACCCCTCCCTCACCAAACACTTGCATTGCACATGCACTTTTATTCGTGTTCGTTCTTTTTTGGTACAACTATGACAACCACTTGCTATGAAATGACACTGATGCTCACTGCATAGTTTCCCTTATTTGAAATATTTGATAGTTCGGTGCTTGTTGTAGGAATTGTGGTGTGCAATCCACATTGTTGTGCTTGGAAATTGATACTCAGCTTTCCTTAACTGTTTAATGTTCATGCGTTAAATTGACGGGCTCTGTTATGTCATAATTTTTTTTGGAATTTCTTATGAATTATTTCTATTGATGCAGATCAACAATGCCGGATCAAATGCATATAGTTACAAACCTTTGGTGGAAACCTCTGATGAGGCTCTAATGTAATTCTCTATCTCTATATTGACAAGGCTTGAACAAGCACACCTTCATTCAGTTGCACCTCGAGTGCCAATAATTCATTGACCCTTTTCTTTGATTTAACAGTGAGGTGATCACCACTAACACTCTTGGATTGATGCTATGTTGTCGCGAGGTATTACTTTCCACTCAATATTAGATATTTGTCGTATAGCATGGTGACTGCTGAAGAATTCCAACACTCATCGTCTTGCCATCTTAGGCAATAAATATGATGTGGAACCAACCTCGAGGTGGTCACATATTTAACATTGATGGTGCTGGCTCTGATGGAAGGCCAACCCCAAGGTACCATTTCCGTTTGTTCTCTCATATGTTGTAAATTCTGGATACTCAGCTGAGTGTGCTGTCACATGATTTCGTTTAACTGCTCATATAGTTTGAACCTGTGGAATTGAACATAGTGTTATATATCCTGTTCTTTTGACGCTGATATAAGTATATCCATTTGTTCTTCTCCACATGTGTGTATTGTACTTGACATACTGAATTTGCATGGCCATATGGCAGTATCAGTTATTTGTATTAAATGAAAGTTGTGACAAAACGAAATACTAAGAAGACAGACTCAATCATCTTTTGGTGAACTAGTAGTCTTGAATTTTAAGTAATTATTATTATAATCACCAGGTTTGCCGCTTATGGTGCAACGAAGAGAAGTGTGGTGCACCTTACAAAGTCTCTACAGGTAAAGATAACATGTGTGACGATTTAACCTGAAATGATTAGTTTCTGTTTGAGCAGTTCCAATGAAGCATTTTGAAATAATGAACTATTTGCTGTATTGTAACCTCATGAAATTGTCGATAGCCTCGAAGCACAACCATTCAGCAGTACAATGAGATAACTACTGTTTTATCAATATTTAGAGCCATGTTAAATTCCCAAGTAGTTGCTCATTAATCACTGCCACAAACTCATATCTGGGACATCGTAAAGCTGTAATCATCCATAGAGAAAATAATAGGCAATTTATTGCTGTGTGCTCGAACTTGGCTCAGTGGCATGAATTTTTATTAAGTTTACATTTATTTCCACAACAACAACAAAGCCTTTTGTCCCAAGCAAATTGGGGTAGCCTAGGGATGAAACTCCACAAAAACTGTGAGAACCCAAAAGAGAAGACATAAAGTACAAGCAAGCAAAATAAATCAAGGCAGTATACTGGTGCAGGTCACAGCTTTGCAGCATTATTAGAAACTGTGTGGAGAAGATAACATGATTCTTTTTGCAGGCTGAGTTGCAGATGAATGAAGTGAATAATGTCGTGGTGCATAATTTATCGGTATATGGCTCCACCCTTTCTTTAGTTATCTTTTACTATTCTAGAGTTCCTAACTATTCTCTCGCATAAAGATAATTAGAAGTTGGGTGTGGTTTAACTAACTAGTTTGTGTAAGTTTGTAAGTATTGGTCAATGGAATATCCGTATAAGTAAATGACCGCCTTTTGTTTCTAAGTTCTGTTTATAACTCTGAAAAGGATAGTCACACACTAACAGTAAGTACATAACTAATTTTTGCAGCCTGGCATGGTTACGACTGATCTTCTTATGTCTGGTGCTACCACAAAGCAAGTAAGGGATAGACACAATTTCTTTCTGACATTCTTTTTCTTTTTGCCATTGTTGATAAGATAATTCATGGTTACTAAATTGTGAATTTTACTGATGGCAGGCAAAGTTTTTCATCAATATATTAGCTGAAACTCCTGATGTGGTGAGAGCTATGCCATTGTTCCTGTTTTTTTTTACAGGGCCATTGGTCCTTTTCCTCCAGAACAATGTTGACTCTTCTTCTAAACTCTAAAGCTTATGTTCGGCTGCAGTAGTAATCATTTTTAGCTGCTTTAGGCCTGTGTCCATTTGATGTGTAGAAGAGTCCGACCACTTAGCTTGAACGTGGTCTCCAGACTTGTTTATACATTCCTGAAATTTGTGATTTGGTCGTTGTTGAAGGGCTGTTAACCTTTTGTGCTTGCTTTAACAAAGTTAAAAAGTGGTAACTTCAAGTTCTTCATATGATGTTGCAAGGCAGACATGTGTTATCAAATGTGTCGATCTGAAGTTCTGAAAAAGAAAGTTAATCTAATATAAATTGTCAAAATTAGCTTACGAAGCTTATAACTTAGCTTAAAAATCTTAGTCTGTCCATGACAGACATGTTTTCTTTGTACAGCAAATGAGCGGTATCCTCTAGGTTCATTTGCGATGGATATCTGTTAATGATTCAGCTTACCTGCCTTTAATGTTATTTTACACTTTTTTATCATATGATCTGTTTGGTAATATGGTAATATAATAATCATGTTGACTATTAAAATAGGTTGCGGATTACCTTGTTCCAAACATCAGAGAAATCCCTACCAAGCAATCCATGAAGCCGACTTACATTCGCTTTCTCACAGGCTTGAAAGCCTACTCCAGAATATTTTCAGTAAGAACTATCTGAAACCTGGGGAGGGTCTTTTATTAATCTTGGACATCCCCAACCAATGTCAAATTTACTGTGATAATCATTCTTCCTGATTTTATTTGCAGAGAATTGCTTTTGGTGCTCGTAGGAACAAGTATGTTGCCGAGGATTAGTTTTCTTACTGCCATCTTCCAACCCAGAAGAAACCTAGGGATATTCTTGTTATCATATTTTAGAAGTCCATTCTTTTCCTGTAAAAATAGGATGTATCACTGAGGGCATCTTGAGAGCACAACAATGTACTCCTCATATATACAATACATGTAATTTGATTAAACCTCATCAAATTTATTGTCATTGATTGAATCATTCACAGTTCACTGGATTATTTATGGACCTTGTGATCTAGTTGCATGTTGCATTTTCAATGCAAGAGGAGCCCATGATACATCTATGCACCTACACATTAAGGCTGAAGCCATTTTTCCTTGCTACTTCGGTACTTCCTATAACTTGTGTAGTCTTGCCTAACTTATCTGTTGGGGCGAGTTCGTCGTGCAATTAAGCACCTATGATCAATTTATTATGTTTGTACAACATTTTTTTCATTGAAAGGCATGTAGGATGGCATTGCAACGACAGGACATGGTCATGCACTCATGCTGGCATGCTGCTACCTTGCTGCTAGGTGTTTGGCGTAATAGGATAGGACTTTGATCACATGTCACACATCCAGATTGCCTGATAAGTCAACCTCAAAACTTACTACTGCACCTAAATTATCATTCTGGTTATTTACTTCTCTATCACATTCCTGATAAGTTAATGTGATGTGCACCATTCGTGGATTTGGCAGCGTATGCTCATATTAGATAATCATCCTTGTTGCTTCCTTACCATTTTGAGAAAGCTTTACTTCTCTGCCAACCTTTCCATCCATACAAAGCAACTGTGAATTGTGATGAGTTATGTTAGTCTCTTACGAGAACTGTATAAAAGGGTGACTGGCTTTATAGAGAAGGACACTATCACTCACTCTTCTCGCTAATGGTATGACATACATTCCCGGTTCCTTTTGCTTCCTCGCACATACTGGTATGAGCATCACAATTTGTTTTAGTTTCTCTTATGGTATTTTAGTGCATTCTTTTTTCTAATATAGGATGCCAGAGAATTGATGTTCTGCTTGATCTCCACTTTGTATTTGGAAATATTTTCTGTATCTATATGGGCACATGCCCACGTTAACGAAATATACAAATTTACGATTGATTCTGTCTTTTTAGTTACAGAATCTCAACACACAGCCATACTGCATCATCATAATGCACGCATCCTTCTTTTTTCGGAAAGGGGATAACCCCGGCTTCTGCATCATCCTGATGCACACAGCCATCCTGTATTGTCCTTTTGCCAGTTTGCAATGCCTTGCTTCTAAAGAGAGTTGCACAATATAATCTTTTCTGATTTCCTTGATCTTTACTGACACGTGGTGAGCTTGATTTGCAGAATGATGTCCAACGGCAAGCCGACAGAAAACAGTGATTCTTCTTACATGTCAGGCATACTGGCCAGCTGCCTACTCAGGGCAATGCAGCCGACAAGGAGTTTACTTCGCTGGACCGACGATCTCCATAAGATCTTCGTGGAAGCTGTAGAGTATCAAGGAGGCCCCTATGGTTTGGTTTCTTGAACTTTGAGCAGACAATGTCAAACAATTCATTCTCTGTTCCTTGGATCGGAAATTTCTCGATGAAACTGATGCTGTGCTGTTCAACTGTCCCAATTCCTTAGAGGCGAAGCCAACTGCGGTGAAGCAGAGAATGGAAGCTATGGGAGTCACAGGCCTGACAATCTGGAACATAAAAAGCCACTTCCAAGTACCTCCTGCCCTCTTGCAGCTCTTCATCAGTTAATTTTGAGGGTTTTCGTTCCGCCGTGCAGGATCTCAACACTTGGCTTTGCTCTTCCGTGCCAGAGATACAGGGAGAAGTGCAATTTAGGAGCCGAACCTCCTCGGGATGTCCTAGGCACTGCATCACCAAGCAAGGCAGGAGATAATGTGTATGGTTCTTTGATGTATTGAGATTGTTGGATCTGCATGCCTTTGTGTTCTCTATTTTGTTTTTTATAACTGACTGACTGACTGATTACTGTGCTTGTTCATAAGTTCTGTAACTTGTTCTGATGTGCAGGACATCTGAGGCCGAGACGGTGGTGGACAGTGATGCAGCAATGAATCTGACTGGAATGGAGGTATAAATTCTCTTTTTATTCAACTGAAGTTTTGGAAATCCTGCATCACCTGTTCCTAATTGAGTCTATCTTACCTGTGATTTAGATGGCGACCTATTTGCTTATGGATGACACGGAGGTACAGTTTTCTTCACATGCCTGGAAATGCACTTGATCTATGTGAAGGTGTGATAACGACCTACTTAGCTATCTGTGTTGCCTCTCGCAGATGGTGGATACCGCATTTTCTGCCGATGAGTTGCAGGTACATTGAAAGCATAGGCATATTACCTAAGATTTATTTATGTGCTAATGCACTACTACACTCGCTCTTGTTTTATGTAAATTAAACCGAAAATTAATTTTTGATACAGATGATGGAGAAGGAATTGATGAATGCAATCCAGGCATGAATGAATTGTGCAGCATTGTTCTCGGAAAACCTAGTTACCATGTTTGCTCCTTGTAAGATGGGGTGCGCCGGCCACTGTGAAAAATAAATTTAACGTCGTTGTGTGCACATGTCCCACATATCAAATATTAAACTGATAAGAACTGCTTCGCGGTCGGACTATGTTTAGCCATGCCTGTTGTAGATCTGGCCTTGATACACCATCGCTGACAGCCTGGCCTGGACAGTGGACAAGAATATACTATCATCCGAAGGCAAGACCTCGTCAGTCTTATAGTAGTAAGTACATTTCAGGGCCATATAACAGTAGAGGGAACACACTTGCCATGCCATGCCAGGAAGGTTAGGATCATAGTATGGCTGCCGCCTGCAGTCTCTGCAGGTATCTGCATCTATGGCAACCCAACCCCAGACCCGGCCATCTTTTAGCACGACGGCACACCGTCGTTGCCTCGCCGTCGCGCTCTAGGAGTAGGATGGCGTGCCGGGGAGCAAGCTCCGCCGCCAAGGCCACCACGACGGCGCCCTTCGTGTTGGTCCTGCTGATGCACCACGGCCACCTGATCCCGGACGCGGCGCTGCAGCTGGCCGCCCACTCTAAAAAGCCCCCAGGCCCCATCCCAACACAATCCCAGCAACACAATGCCAAACAAGGATATATGTCAACAGAAGGGGGAAATGTGAATCCAACGACCGAAGAATAGCGCATTTAACAAGGCCAAGCACTGAACAAATTAAGGCAGCGACCGACACATAGCAGTAGTAGCAGCTAAGCTAGTTTATGGAAGTAGTAGCAGCTAAGCTAGTTTATGGAAACCAAACGTGCTTCATGGCAGAATGCTCGCTAATTAATTAGGACATGATAACACACACAGCAGGAAGCATCATATATATATATATATATATATATATATATATATATATATATATATATATATATATATATATATATATATATATATATATATGGTCTCACTTCACAGCTGATAGCATCACACACTCCTATCTAGCCGTGGCCACGTAGGAGAGAAGACTCACTGATCCAGAGACAGACTCATCCTCTGAATCTGAACTGGGCTTATAATATGAATCTGGACTGCACTCATACGCCCCCCATGAATCTGAACTGGGTTCTGTAAGACAATGATTTGGGGGAACCGGCTCAACCCTCTAGGGGTGGCTTATCTCATATATATAATGGGTGTGTTACAATAGGTACAAATATACGTACACAAATACAGAAGCTATACATAGTCTAACACCCTCCCTCAATCTTAGCCACTTTCTAAAGAACTGAGAAGGGTAAGATTGCGCCTACAAGCCTCGAACTGTGGTAAAGGCAAAGGCTTAGTGAAGATGTCTGCAAGTTGATCTTTTGAAGAGATGAACTTGATCTGAAGTTGCTTCTGTGACACACGTTCCCGTACAAAGTGATAGTCCACTTCAATGTGTTTCGTTCGGGCATGAAATATCGGATTAGCAGAAAGGTATGTAGCACCGATGTTGTCACACCAAAGGATAGGAGGCTGCGGTTGAGACATACCCAACTCCTGAAGCAAAGACTGCACCCAAATAATCTCTGCAGTAGCATTAGCCACAACCTTATACTCAACTTCAGTACTACTACGTGATACAGTAGCCTGTTTCCGAGCACTCCAGGGGATCAAGTTGGAGCCAAAGAACACAACATAGCCCCCCGTGAATCGCCTGTCATCCGGGCTGCCAGCCCAGTCCGCATCAGAGTAGGCCGAAAGAACCCGAGAGGAAGACGGCCGAATATGCATCCCAAAAGACACTGTGAATTGGACATAACGCAGGATGCGCTTAACAGCCGCCCAATGAGTGTCACGGGGAGCCTGAAGATACTGACAAACCCTGTTGACAGCATAAGAAATATCTGGCCGCGTAATCGTCAAGTACTGAAGCCCACCAACAATACTCTTGTACTCTGTAGCATCTGCAGAAGACAGAAGCGCACCATCAACAGCAGTGAGCTTCTCGGTAGATGACATGGGTGTGGTAGTCGGTTTGCACTTAAGCATCCCAGCTCGCTGCAACAAATCCAATGAGTACTTCTTTTGTGTCATAACAAGACCATCAGCACGAGAGGTAACCTCAACCCCAAGAAAGTAGTGAAGCTTCCCAAGATCTTTGACAGCAAAAGCAGCACCAAGAGAGCGAACAAGAGCATCAGCAGCATACCGAGAGGAACTGACAAGAATAATATCATCCACATAGACCAAAAGATACATAGTGACCTCTGGCTTCTGTAGAAGAAATAATGAGGAGTCAGCATTGGACAACACAAACCCATGAGCACGAAGAGCTGAGGCAAGACGAGCATGCCAGGCACGAGGAGCTTGCTTCAGGCCATAGAGCGCTTTGGTGAGACGGCAGATGTGATCAGGACGATTTGGATCAGAGAAACCAGGCGGCTGCCGCATATAAACCTCTTCCTCCAAGAACCCATGAAGAAAGGCATTCTGCACATCAAGTTGACGAAGAGACCAACCGTGAGTGACAGCAAGAGAAAGAAGAAGCCGAATGGTGGTAGGCTTGACAACGGGACTGAAGGTGTCCTCGTAATCAAGACCATAGCGCTGCCGAAATCCTCTGGCGACAAGGCGCGCTTTATAATGCTCAATAGATCCATCCGAATGCTTCTTAACTTTGAACACCCACTTGCAGTCAATAACATTAACCCGTGGTGGGGGAGGAACAAGAGTCCATGTCTTGTTGCGAAGAAGAGCATGATACTCCTCCTCCATAACCTCTCGCCAATGAGGAACACGCATGGCGGCCTGATACGAGCGGGGCTCAGAAGACGGATCCGCAACAGCAGCAGCCAGACATGCTGCCAACCAAGCAACAGTACCATCTGTACGCTCCTTTGGTCGAAAAATGCCACTGCGACTGCGTGTATGTGGACGTAACACAGGAGCCGTCAAGGTCGAAGAAGCAGCCGGCGAAGGGCTGGGCGACGAAGAGGCAAACGATGGAACCAGGTCCTCCATCGTGACAGCCGGCTCAGTGGATCCAGAACCCGCCAGTGGACTACCCAGTAGAGTCATAGGCGAGGCCGGTGGAGCAGACCGAGCCATGGGCGAGTCCGGCGTAGTGGGCCGAGCTGCAGGCGAGGCCGGCGTAGCGGGCCGATCCGCTGGAGACGCGGGCGAGGCCGGCGGAGCGGGCTGATCCGCTAGAGACACGGGCGAGGCCGGCGTAGCGGGCCGAGCCGCGGAAGACGCAGGCGCCCGAGGCCGATCAGAGGATGAGGCCGAGGCCTCAGATGCATCCACCGAGCGTGCATGGGCACACGGATCGAGGCCATGCAACGTCGCTGCGTGATCGACGTGCACAGCAGAGGGCGGCGGCGATGATGATGGGGAGTCCTCCAAAAGCTCCAAACGAGCCCCACGTCCGGTTCCTGCACCATGGTTAGGCAATAACACAGGAGAGTATGCAACATCATCAAATTCATCAGAGGCAAGAGAGGATGAATGCATGGACGGAGGAGCATCTGTGGACAGAGGTAGATTGGCAAACGGAAAGACATGCTCATCAAACACCACATCCCGAGAGATGTAAAAACGATTAGTGGGAACATGAAGACATTTGTAACCTTTATGAAGAGAACTATAGCCAAGAAAGACACACTTTTTGGACCTAAATTCCAGCTTGCGTTTATTATAAGGGCGAAGGTGCGGCCAGCAAGCACACCCAAAAACTTTAAAGAAAGTATAATCGGGTTGTTCATTAAGGAGAAGTTCAAGGGGAGTCTTCATGTTGAGAACACGTGTGGGAGTACGGTTGATAAGAAAACAAGCAGTGGTAAAAGCATCACTCCAAAACCGAAAAGGAACCGATGCATGGGCCAAAAGAGTGAGACCAGTCTCAACAATATGACGATGCTTACGCTCGACGGAATCGTTCTGCTGATGAGTATGTGGACATGCTAAACGATGAGCGATCCCAAGCGACTGGAAGAAGGAGTTGAGGTTGCGATACTCGCCACCCCAGTCCGACTGAACATGAACAATTTTATGCTTGAGAAGACGTTCAACATGTTTTTGAAACTGAACGACAATATCAAATGCATCAGATTTACGCTTAATAAGATAGAGCCAAGTAAAACGACTGTAAGCATCCACAAAACTAATATAATAGTTATGACCACTGACAGAAGTTTGGGCAGGGCCCCATACATCCGAAAAAGCAAGTTCTAAAGGATGTTTCACCTCACGGCTAGACTCCGAAAAAGGAAGTTGA